GCTTTTTAGTTTTTGTCTTTTCATGACACGAATCACCTTTTCGAGCGATGACTAGCTGTTAATTTTTGTGGTTGTTTGTTTTGGAGACGAGTCGTTGCTGGGTCCCGCCGCGGGAGTGCAGGTGGGATCAGGTCATTGAGCTCATCGCAACCTCCACCTCCCGGGTTGAGAGTGAGGGTTCGGCGGCGTCAGTGCGCTGAGTGAGGTTTGGGATTACAGCGCCACAGCGCGTAAGCCCAGCGTAATTTTTTATTTTTGTAAGACAGGGTTTGTCTCATGTTGGCCAGAGCTGGTCTTGGGAATTTGCTGCTCACAGTTGATCTGCCAGTCCTCAGCCTCCAAAGTGATGGGTTTACAGGGCATAAGCTACACCCGCCAGCACACCATTCTGTTAAGTTTCTTGTTATGTTGTTCTAGTCTGATTCTGTGCCAGAAGGAAAGTTCCATGACGAAAGAGTCTTGCCTCTTATGTTTGTTGCTGTACCCCCAGGGTCTATAACAGGGCCCGACAAACCATTTCTGTTTCTGTAACAGGCTCTGTCCCAAGACTCTTCTCTGCCAATATAGTGCAAAGCAGCCACAGGTGATTGTAAGCAAGTGGGCTTGGCTGTGTGTCAATAAAACTTTATTAACAAAAGCAAGCAGGGGGCCGCGCTTGGCTGGCAGGCTGGAGTTTGCCACCCTTTGGTCTGGAGCACTGCCTGGTACACAGTAGGTGCTGTCTGGGCAGATTAGTTGGAGCACATTGATGGCGCGCACCCCTTGACTACGGCTCTGCCTTTGGGGGAAGATTGGTGTCCTCCCTGGGAGCACAAGACACTCAAGAAACATGATGTAGGCAGATGCTCTGTGATTTAGCTGTGGAACTGATTTCCCTCTGGGACTATTGAGATCTTGGATTCAGGAGCGCTCTGGAGGAGGCTCTGGGAGGGAGACCCAGCAGCACTTGTCAGGGGGAAGGCAGAATGGTGCCAGACCAAGTCCAGAGGGCCTCTCTCTTCCAAAGGAGAGGAAGGATGTGTCTAGATGCCTCAGGGAAGCGCACTGATGAAGTTAAGACTTTGTTCTGATCACCCGCACGTTCCCAATGTGCCTGGAACACTTGTTGGGGCTTTTTTTGTTGATTTTTTTTTTTTTGAGAAGAGTTTCGCTCTGTTGCCCAGGTGTTAGTGCAGTCGGTGTGATGCATTGGCTCACCACACTTGCTCCAGGGGTTCAACTATTCCGCTCAGCCTCTCGATGTAGGTGGGATTACAGGCACTCCCACCATTCGGCCTTATTTTTTGTATTTTAGTAGAGACTCTGTTTACACATATTGGGCCAGGCTGGATCTTGACTCGCTGGACCTCAGTGGATCCACCCACCTCGGCTTCCAAGAGGCTAGGATTACAGGCAAGAAGCACTTGCCCAGCCGAATGTATTTTCTTGGTGAGCAAAATAACTAAGGCTGGGGGTTGTGCAGTCACCTCCGGGAGGGGCAAGGTCACTCACCGGAAGCAGAGCCTAGGTGCGGCTGGGTGAAGCCGGGTGGACAGCGGCAGGAGAAGGCGCCCACCGTGTTGACACAGAGGAACTGACAGTTGTGCTGCCGGGAGGTGCATTCGTCCAGGTCTGCAGCACAGATAGTCCAGCAGGCTCAGGGCAGGGCCCAGTCGGGGGTTAGGGGCTTCCCAGGGGCTGCCCTTGCTACCTCCAGGCAGAGGGATGACAAGAGAAAGATCCCGGAGATGGTGCTTGACTCCATGCAGATGGGAGGGGGTGAGATTGCAGGGGACAGGAGCAGGCAGGACCCTAGAGTGCATGCAGTGGCAGGAGTGGGGGAGAGTTGAAAGGACATCACCTTTGCAGGTCCTGCCATCCTCCTCCAGCAGGTAGCCTCGGGGACAGCTGCATAGGAAGCTGCCCTTCGTGTTTTTGCAGAGGAAGGTACACGGCTTGGGGACCTGGCTGCACTCATCCACATCTAGGGAAGGACAGTGGGGTGTGGTGGGGCGGGGTTAGACAGACATTCCCTGGGGGTGTTCAGGGACTGGGGTCTCCACCCAGACCTGGACCATCCGGAATCTGTGGACTTACATAGGAATTAACACTTTTTCTGCAAAAAGCCAGATGGTAAACACATTTGGTTTTGCAGGCCACATCGTCTCGGACACAACTACTCCATGTGGCCTTTGTACCAGCAAAGCAGCCACTGAGGGTAAGCAGACAAATGTGTATGGCTGTGTGCTAATAAAACTTTATTGACAAGAACAATTGTAGGGCCAGATTTGACCCTCAGGCTGGGGTTTGCCTCCTGCTGACTTAGATGTACACTTGCTACAAAACGTAACTGAAAAATCTCAGGATGTGCAAAATAAAAGAAACAACAGCAGGAAAGTGGCCCAAATGGGATGGGGGTGGGAGAAGGAAAGGATGCTCCCTCCCTCCCT